TTTTTTTTAGTGAAAGGCTGGAGAATTTCGCAGAGAAGATATCCATTTTATTTTTAAAGATAATCAGTAGCGTCAAGCTTTCGACTTTTGATTAAAGTATCGCCTAACTTGCTGAAGAAATCAGAATGTTGGACGGCAATATGGGGAGAATGAAAAGGCATGAAAAAACAGGTAGTGTCTCTCGAGAAGGAAAACGACCATCCAGACGAACCATACGTAGATGAGTAACGATTTTAAAGTGACGACTGCAGTTCAGGACAAATGAAACAAAAGGCACTAAGCATGCTTATGCATCGCACAGCAACGAAGGTTCGCGCCTGGCAGCCGCGCGATGTTGGGCCATTGTGATGAATTCGGTTTCGCCGGCAATTGCTTAACACTTTATTGCCAAATGAGTAAAGATTCACTTTTTCAAAGTACTTTTGCAAAAAAAGACTTAGAAGAATGACCGTCTGTCAGTTCCGCATAAATATCCTGGCTATATATAGGGCTAAAGAAATATTTCTGCTTTTTTCAAAACCCCCTGCTTTGGCTATTTTAAGGGAAAGCAAAAATTTTACTTTGGGCTTTGTTACATGAAGCGAATGCCTATTAACAGGTACAGCAAAAACTGCTTGTCGTGGAACTCCTGGCTGCTCACTACTGCCGCAACTTTTCACAACTGATCGTTTCGCCCTGAAATACCAGTAAAAGTACTGCTCAGTACGGAGGAAAAAAAATCGCGGTTTTTGAATCTTAGACGACAACAGCAGTGGGAACTCATGGTTCCGACAAAAAAAAGGCCTCACATGAATTCCAAATCAAAATTGCATTCACTGTCCAGACGTTTTTTGGATTCTCTCTAGAATCTCAGACTGAATGCGAGCCCGGAGGATAATACAAACGACAAGAGCTGCAAAAAATGTCAGTTGTTTTGCAATCTTTCTGCGAAATGGCGCTGCTTAGCAAGCTTAGCAAGCAGCGCCATTTCGCAGAAAGATTACAAAACAACTGATATTTTTTGCAGCTGCGGGGCAAGGGATTATTTGGAAGAATAAGTTTCCGATAATAAAATACAGTCCGTTTTAACCTCAAGTTTTATAAGAATGGAAATTTCCAAAAGGAATGAGTTTCTCCACTTCCCTTAGCCAAATCGTGGTTTTGAATGCTTGCTGACATGTAACAATTTGCTCTCTGACTGGTTCTTTAAACAGCATGCAAGAACCTAATTACGAAAAGAATGTATCAATCAGAAGACATCAATTTTCTTAAATCGATCGAGCACTGAAGCCATAGCATTATGTTGTGCCGCTTGAACAAGGCCATTCATAAAAGGTGAAAAACTGAATACAGGGCGGTGGCCACCATTTTCGTAACTTCGGAAGAGATAAAAATCACAGATAGCAGCTACGAAGACAGATGCCAATAATCCATGACAAAAGTATCTTGCAGAGCTTTTCCGCTGGTCCAGCATTTCTGTGACACCGAGGCTTTCACAGATTAAATGAGAAGATGCTACTTTTAAGAAGCTGTCTGAGAAAATGATATACCCGCTCTGAGACCGTAACTTCACTTGCGAAGCGATATTTGGCTGCTGCTGTGTGGTTAACGGCGTAGGCTGCTTACCGCTTCCTTTCACACTCCCTTTACGGATTGGGACAACTGGCGCTGGACACGACCGATGCGTATCATCAGCCTAGAAAATTCCATCAAATATATGATCAAGTTCGAGCAAAAAAAAATAGCTTTTAACGAAAACTAATTCATCGTAAGCAGTGTGAAGCAAAAGCAAGCATGAAATTAAACAAAAAGGTGTTACCAATATAATTTTATTTACACAAATTGTTAAAACGGCTTTTTAATAAGCTTTTTTAAAATAGAATCATGACCAGAATCACGTTGGCAGACTACTGAAATTTTAACAAAGTCGAAGGGCAATGAAATAAAGAGGGCAGGTCAACTTCATGCATCTTTAGTTCTGGAATCAGTGAAATTCAGTTCATAAAAAGTGAAAAATATGAGTCCATAAAATGGCACTTGACACTCCAGTCTGATGTATACCGTTTCCAGGTAAATGATCAGAAGCTATGTTTTTTTTTTTTAAAAAGTTGGATACGCCTAGCTGATTAGTTGGTGTGTGAAAAATACCGTTTGATCGCCTTCTTTCTTGAGATCTTCGAAAATTTGGTCGAGATAATCAATTGCTTCTTTGAATTTGCTCCTATGTTGATGATGCCTGTAGCGTGCTTGATCAATCATCTGGTCTAGCTGACGTGTCGCTGTTTCCAGTGCGCCACTGCAAAAGCATCACGTCGGGTTCACATCGGATACTGGTGAGTGATTACACATAAATTTGCAGTTCGCAGTTACACCTGCACATAAATTTTAGTGAATAACATCATTTATTGGCATTTATTATGTAGGATAAACAAAAAAAGAACAATAATTTTCCTCGACGAATCAACATTGTGACAGAAAACTTACAGTTTTACATTATTCTATATTAGGGCTATAGCATATCATCGAAAACAATTCTCATTTATCACAGCTGAGTACAGTGGCAGCGAAATCCCCTTTTCCAGCATTACTAGGGAATCAAAAAGAGTAAGTACGAGCGGAGCGGCGTAGGTTGACATACGATTTGCGTTTTGAACGAATCTTGTTTCACTGCATTTTATATGGATGTCTGTAGCTATAGTAAATTCATTAGCATATTGCGTCCATAGGCGAAGCAAATTTTCTGTGCGAGAATCGCACAAAAAAATTGTAGATGGTGGTGGTGCTCGGTACCAGCCAGTGCCTTACTGCAATAGAATTAGCCACACAGGCAGAAAAAATAAGTTTGCCAGTTGTGCGATTGGGTGATCATGATAACAGCAATGTTGACGATGGTGATCAGAAAATAAAAATCGCAAAATGCGAGCAGTTTTTTTGACTTGTGCTAGTGAATTGGCCCAATTATGCGTGCTAGCTATTTCTGAACAAACACAGTTCGTGTAGCCCATATATAGCACCGTTATGCTTCCACTTAACGATCTTTCACTTGTTATGAAATGCAGATGGAAACCACTTTGTACTGACATAATTATTCAAAGCTAACTATTCCAAGTAAAGTTCAAATTTTCCAGTAAGCTGGTGATAAACAGAATACTCTCGCGCTCATTCAAATGAAACGAAATTCATTTAAATAAATATATCTGATTTGGTCTTACTACATTTCCCAGTTCGGCTCTCCAGAAAGTGGAATTATGAAGTGAAAAACAGAGTTAAATCGTAATAAAGGAAGTTTGATAAAGCAAAAGGTGCGACGGAGGGCTGTTCGGTCCGTTGAAGCTTTGAGCTTTTGCACACTTAAAGTTCTGTTCAGCACAGCAGAGTGTGTTATATTTACACAAAAGTTAGCTCGAGCTCATACGCTATCAGCCATCGTAGCTCTCTTCCTCTTTTCCTCCGGCGTCAGAGAAAGAAAATCTCTTCTTTGTGGTATTAATGACGATAATTAAAGTCAATTATGAAATTGCTGTAAAAAAAGCAAAATCATAGCTTAATGATGGTAAAGATGGTAACAAGTGTGATAAGGATGAAGAAAGGTACATTGACTGTGAAGGCGTTAGCAGTGATGGAAAAGCATGTGTGACGGTGAGGAGATGAGGGAAGTTCGAAGTTTAGTCTGCTCAAGAGCAGACGATTGATTCTTTGCGGGATTCGTCGAAAAAATGCATCTCTCCCAGCTTTGCTTTTTAGCTTTCCAGCTGCCTTTGCTA